GGGCCGCCGGCCGGGGCCGCCTCCTGCCGCCTCGCGTCTGCCGCGGGCTGCCAGGGCCGCTCGCACCCAGCGGCCTGGCCAGGGTACCGAGCCTGTTCGCACTGCCCCGGCTGCTGGGATCGCCCCTGGGAACTGCTGAGGTAAATCAGACACCTCAGGGTGTGCGTTGGATCCGCAGGGCTTGTGTCCACGGTGAGAAGCGAGTATCGTGCAAGACGTGGTAAGGAGGTCGGAGGTACTGCCCTGCACATCTTAAATCATAAACAAGGGCAATATTCTCCTCCTGGCATCCTCAAGAGTATGAGGGAGAGGATGATGTACTGCCTTTCCCTGGCATTGCCACGAGTGCAGGATACTTGAGTGCAGGATACTCAAGGGTGGTGCAAAATGAACCCTGTCAGGCAACCCGCAGTTCTGAGCAAGAAACATTTCCGCACAACTGCACGCAGGTTCCAGTGATCAAAGCCAGCGTTTTCTCCTCAGATCTGCGTGGCAAGCCCCTAGCCCGGGCAGGGAGTTGGTGCTGTGGACGGCAGAGCAGTTCTGGGCCTGCGTGCGCAGGGAGGGAGGTTCAGCCTCTGTGTGAGCAGTCGCAGGTGCCGCGTCCCACTTGTCGCTCTGTCGCATCCCTCCAAGACTGGGCTGTGTGGAGGGCAAGGGGCTCGTTCCTCCTCCTGGGAGCAGCCGAGGGTGCTACGGCACGGAGACAGGTGAAGGGAGCACGGCATGCGGAAGGCCAGGGAATCCCAGCCGGGAGACGGCAGTGTGCAGCTCCCGGAGGGTGGGAGATCCGTACAGAAGAGCACAGAGGGGGCTGTGCTTCCAGGGAGCCTGAAGGAGCTTTCTGGAGAGCAGGCAGCGCTAGGCAGAGATTTCCGCCACTCGGGCGGTCACTGAGCCAACTAACATTAAACTTGAGAGCAAAAACCTGCCTGCAGGAGTGCAACAGGCACAGGGGGAGTTGTCTACAACCCTTCTGATCCATTTGTCCCTTTGGATTTCTGCTCACAAAGTTACTTAGCCCACTTCTAAACCAATAGAGCATGACCTTTTTCTTGTGTTCAGAAGCCTTCTGATCTGCTCTGGGAGCTCTCTGTAAGGGAAGGGTCTAAGCAGCCCTCTCTCAGCAGTCCTGGGTGCTATTGCCACGAGGATTTGGACTACAAATTAGAATGAGGATGAGCGGAAAATAGAAATCAGATATATATGTTCTCTAGAGAGCATAAATGGTTGAAATGACTACTCTAACACATCACTTTAACCGCACTGATCACATTACTGATCACCAGAGGATATTCTGGTGAAATAGCCTCTGTCATGTAAAAACTCCATTTTTCCTCACTGAAGTTCTCAGCCTTGATGCAAACTGCTGGAAAACAGACGGAATAAACTTCATAGGAATAAGCTGCACAGTTCCTTCATTTCTGAACCTAGACCTCCGAGTTATGACCTTCTTCATTTCGATAGCTCTCTGTGGCCGTAAATTACCATGTCCAAGTCAGCTTCATTGTCAGGGACTTTACCCTGAGACAGCAACCAGAAGAAAATGCACTGCATGCAGATCGCTGAAGTTAATAGTCCGGGAGCGAGCACTTTCAGCAAACGCAACCAGCTCAGCAGCTCTCCAGCTTCCATCTTGATGCACATGCACAGTACAGGCTCCACAGACTCAAACCTGGTTTGCAGCAAGCATGAGTGTCTCACTGCGCTCAGGCAAGCTTTGCATTTCCAAGGGCACGCTGGCTCTCAGGAGAAACACTCAGCAAGCTCGGCCTGCCCTAGTCCTTTCCCAGCTGCTGCCCCGTCGGCCCAAGGAGACGCAGACGCCTCCTCGGACCGCACAGCTCCCTGCTTGCCCGTGGGCGGCTG